TTCTTATTTCTTCATTGCAACTTACTTTCCCACCTATTTTAGTGTCAGCTGCAAATTTGGCTGCTGTACTTCCTATCCTTGCACCCAAGTTATTCAGATAATTTGTAAGTAATTAGGATCCGAGGACTGAACTCTGTGGCACCCAGAAAAATACCCATTTATGGGGACTCCCTGCGTTCTGTTCGTTAGCCAATCCTCTATACAAGCTAATAAATTATTCTGAACCCCATATGATTTTACTTTGTGTATTATCTTTTTGTTTGGTACCTTGTCAAATGCCTTCTGGAAATCCAGGTATATTCCATCTACAGGATCCTCATTAGCCACTTTTTGCTTCTTACATCTTCAAAGAACTCTACAAATTAGTCAAACATGACTTACCCTTCATAAAACCATGCTGACTCTGATAGATTGTATTTTGACTTTCCAAATGTTCTATTATTACATCCTTATTCTAAGCTCTGGAATCCCCTCTGTGCACCTCTTTCCCTCACTAATTGTCCTTTACACAGTTTGTTGCTCCTTTGATGCCCCTTGGGCTGTCCCATACATGAATGATATTATATAAACACACAAGATCCCCAATCCAACTCTCAGTCCCTGATATCTGAGCCTTGCGTTTGGGTTTGGCCCAGACCATCTTGCCCACATTGTGTGGTCAAGCACTGGTTAGCTGCAAGCCAGTGAGAAGCTCTGGTCTCTGATGGGAGTCTATGGAGTTAGACTGGGCACTAGCTGCTGACCCTGCCACTCACCGGGTAGATGTGGTCTTTGATGATACATTCGCAGTAAGCTGCAGTGACACAGTGTCCTGAGCTATTCCTGTATCTCCCAGCCTCACACACACAGTCTCTGTCATCAGAACCACAGCTTGGTGCCGTCACGGAGTAAACATCCTCACATGATCGCTCACAGCTCGGAGAGTCTGCTGATCCTCGATTCCAAACCTCACCATCAGGACATTCTGAAGGAACAAGGAGGACAGTGATATCAGTGAGAGCTGGCAGGGTGGAGGGTGGGGACTGAGAGCGATGGGGTGGGCATGACCGAATGGGGGTGGGGAAGGGGTGTAGGTGGTGACAGAGAGCTGGAGGGTGAGGGGGTGACGGAGAGTAGGGGAAAGGAAGGGAAGACAGAGAGATTGGGTAGAAGTGACAGAAAATGATTGGGGTGAATGGGGTACCACAGATGAGGGGAATGAAAGGATGGGGTGATAGATCTTGGTGTGGGAGAGGTGAAGGGCATGAAGTGACGGAGAATGGGGAGGGTGGGGGTGACGGAGCGTGAGGGCAACAGGTGACGGAGAATAGGGAGGGTGGGGTGATTTTTTTTTTTAAAAGAAAGTTTCTTACCTTCGCAATCTGATTCTGAACAATGGAAAATTCCCCTCTGACAAACACTGTAACAGAAATACCTCAAACAGTAAAACACAATAGAATTGAGAGAAATTGTAAGGTTCATAGTAGTCTCTCCATCAGAATAGAACTCAGGGTTAGAACAGATGGTGTAATCCTGGAATGATACAGTTATAACACAAAAACTGTTCATTCAGACCATCTATTGCATACCAGCAGTTACTGTTTTACCAGCTTCTGGAAAAGAACATACAACATAACAACAGGGAACAGTTATCTGAGTCTCAACCATGCTCCACCAATCAACACAGTCATGACTGATCTGCTACTTCAGCTTCACCTTGCTGACCCCTCCCCATACCTTGAACTTCCTTTCTGTCTCCTCCTTACGGCCTACTTGTCCATCTAACTCCGTATTATCAGCAACATTGAGAAACGTTAATAATAAGAGCAGGAGTAGGCCATTCAGCCCTATGAACCTGCTTTGTTGTTCAATATGATCATGGCTGACTATCTAATTCAGTTCCTGTTCATGCTTTCTCCTCATTCCCTTTGATCCCTTTAGCCCAAAAAGCTTAAAGGAAAAACCCATAACTTGGAGAAATAAAATGATTTTTAGTTTCAATTGCGCAGAAGTCTTGGCTAAATCTGAAATGTAAACCTAATGCTCTCGAGATAGGAGATAGTTTTAAGATTGTTAACAATCAGGTGTGAGGTGTTTCGTTAGAAGATCCAGATCAGAAGTGGTTGGTTAAAATCCTGAAGGGGTTATTAAACCTGAATCTGCAGCATTGTGTATTTGTGTTTCAGTGTGAGACCACATCATTAAAATCAAAAAAGTACAAAATGAGATTTATCAAGCCAAATTTCAGACTGGGATTGGACTTGTCCTAATAGCATTAACTGGGATCAGAGCATTGGGTACAATATGCAACTTAAAATGATCGCAAATGAGGGAATAGGTGAGATATTTGGGCTTTTTCTCAGACTCCACTCCAATCTTTTGAAGATTTTTCTATTGCTGACACTCAGAGAATGAGATAGACAAATACTCACCAGTTGTTGCATTGGTGACGGATTATTGTTCCTGCTGTGTAATCCCTGTATCGATCCTCCTTTGAGATATTAGTGATCCAGGGGATTGTGGAGCTCAGTAAGGAGCAGTGACATTCCTCAGGAGATACACACATCCCATCCTGTAGAAGCTGCTCAACAACATCAACAACCACCACTCAGCCAGGAATTGTGACATATAATCAGAATTAGTTATAACTGAAAACAGCAGGAGTTTTATTTGTGGTGATCAATTTGGAGGTGATCATGTTGACAAATCATTGAAAGGCAGCAGGACAGAGTATTGACAGGGATGTTTAAAAAAGCATACTGACTGGTTGCGTTCAAAACAAGCCGGAAATAAAAGCAAAGACATTATTTTGGAACTGTATAAAGGATTTGTTAGGCTTCACCTGAAGTATTCTGGACATTGGATACTTTGTAAGATGTGAGCATCAATGGCTAGGCCATTTATTAAGCATTCCTACTCAGAATCATACAATTCCTACAGTGCAGAAACAGGCCATTCAGTCCATCAGGTCTGCACCAAACATCCAAAGACCATTCTCCCACCTCCTTTCCCTATCCCTGTAACCCTGAATTTCCTATGGCTAATCCACCTAGCCTGCACATTCCTGGACACTCTAGGCATCTTAGCATGGCCAATCCACCGAACCTGCACATCTTTGGATCGTGGGAGCAAACCAGAGCCACCCAATGGAAGTCCACACAGACACAGAGAGAACGTGTGAACTTCACACAGAGAGTTGACCGAGGGTGGAATCGAACCTGGATCCCGGGCGCAGTGAGGCAGCAGTGCTAACCGCTGAGCCACTGAACCATCAATAAAGAGAAATTCTCATTCCCAAACTTCAAGAAGCAGCTCACCACCAGCTTTACTGTCTGCACTTTTGGTCTCCTTATCTCAGGAAAGATATTACCGCTATGGAGGAAGTGCAATGAAGGTTCAGCAGACTTATTCCTGGGATAGAACAAAGAACAAAGAACATTACAGCACAGGAACAGGCCCTTCGGCCCTCCAAGCTGCACCGATGCAGATCCTCGATCCAAACCTGTTGCCTAATTTCCAAGGATCTGTATCCCTCTGCTCCCTGCCCATTCATGTATCTGTCTAGATACATCTTAAATGACGCTATCGTGTCCGCCTCTACCACCTCCACTGGCAACATGTTCCAGGCACCCACCACCCTCTGCGTAAAGAACTTTCCATGCATATCGCCCTTAAACTTTTCCCCTCTCACCTTGAAATCGTGACCCCTAGTAATTGAGTCCCCCAATCTGGAAAAAGCTTCTTGCTATCTACCCTGTCTGTACCTCTCATGATTTTGTAGACCTCAATCAGGTCCCCCCTCAACCTCCATCTTTCTAATGTAAATAATCCTAATCTACTCAACCTCTCTTCATAGCTAGCATCCTCCAGTCCAGGCAACATCCTGATGAATCTCCTTTGCACCCTGTCCAAAGCATCCACATCCTTTTGGTAATGTGGCGACCAGAACTGTACACAGTATTCCAAATGTGGTCCAACCAAAGTCCTATACAACTGTAACATGACCTGCCAACTCTTGTACTCAATACCCTGTCCGATGAATGAAAGCATGCCATATGCCTTCTTGACCACTCTATCCACCTGCGTTGCCACCTTCAGGGTAGAATGGACCTGAACACCCAGATCTCTCTGTGCATCAATGGGATGGCAGGACTATCCCAGGAAGAGAGAGATTGGGACAAACTGCATCAATATTCTGTAGTTTCAAAGAATGAGCGGTGACCTCATTGAAATCTATAAGATACTTAAAGGGACAGACATGGTAGATTCAGGTAAGATATTTCCCCTGGCTGGGGAGTCTAAAACCAGGGAGCATAACTTAAAAATAAGAACAAAGCCACTTGGGACTGAGAAGAGGAGAAATAATTTTACTCAGAGTTAGAACAGAAAACAAAGAACAGTACAGCACAGGAACAGGTCCTTTGGCCCATCAAGGCTGTGTCGACAAATGATGCCTTTCTAAACTGAAAACCGTTTGCCTCTATGCGCTCCGTATCCCTCTATTCCCTGCCTATTCATGTATCTGTCAAGATGCCTCTTAAACATTGCTAATGTACCAGCCTCCACCACCTCTTCTGGCAGTGCATTCCAGGCACCTACACCTTCTGTGTGAAAACCTTGCCTCTCATCTCCTTTAAACTTATCCCTTTTACCTTAAACCTATGTCCCCTAGTAATTGACAATTCTACCCTGGGAAAAAGACTCTAACTATCCTCTCTATCCATATCCTGCCTAATTTTCTAAACTTCTATCAGGTCACCCCTCATCCTTCATTCAAGTGAAAACAAATAAAGTTTGTTCAATCTCTGCTCATAGCTAATACCGTCCAAACCAGGCAACATCCTGGTAAACAGTTTCTGTACTGTCTCCAAAGCCTCCACATCCTTCTAGTAGTATGGTGACTGGAACTGTATGCTACATTCCAAGTGTGGCCTAACTAAAGTTCTATACAACAGAAACATGACTTGCCAATTTTTATACTCTATGCCCTGACCAATGAAGGTAAGCACACAATAGGCTTTCTTCACTGTGTAATTCGGTTGTGTTGACACTTTCAGGGAGCTGTGGACCTGTACACTTAAATCTATCTGTATGTTACTGCTACTGAGGATTCTACAATTTACTGTACATGTCCCTCCTGCATTAGATCTCCCAAAATGCACCACTTTGCATTTGTCTGGATTAAATTCCATCTGCCATTTCTCCACCCAAGTCTCCAGCCTATCTATATCGTTCTGTATCCTCTGGCAATCCTCCTCACTATCCATGGCCCCCTCAATCATTGTGCTGTCTGCAAACTCACTAATCAGACCACCTCTATTCTGCTCCAAATCATTTATATAGATGATAAACAACAGGAGTCCCAGCACTGATCCCTGCAGAATACCACAGGTCACAGATCTCCAATCAGAAAAGTGCCTTTTCTCCATTGCTCCCTGCCTTCTATGACACAACCAGTTCTGTATCCATCTTACCAGCTGAATGTGGATCCCATGTGACTTCATCTTTTGTATCAGCCTGCCATGAGAGATCTTATCAAAGGCTTTGCTAAAGTCCATACAGACAACATCTATCGCCTTACCCTCATCAATCATCTTCATCACTTTCTCAAAAAAAACTCAATCAAATTTGAGAGATAGGACCTTCTCCACACAAAGCCATGCTGCACATCACTAATAAATCCATATTTTTCCAAATGCAATTAAATCCTATCCCTAAGAATCTTTTCCAATAATTTCTCTATCACTGACATAAGCTCACTGGCCTGTAATTTCCCAGACTATCCCTGTTACCTTTCTTAAACAAAGGAACAGTGTTGGTTGTTCTCCAGTCATCTGGGACCTCTCCTGTGACTAAAGAGGATAAAGATTTTGTACAAGCCCCCTGCAATTTTCTCATAGGATCTTTCCCAGAATGCTGAGGAAGGCCAATCAGCTCCAGTTCCTCCTCAATGCTTTTCAAAATACCTAATTTTTTTTTATGTTGACATGCTCTAGAATATCAACATACTCCTCTCTAGACTGACGTTCCGCCATGTCCTTTATCTTTGTGGATACTGATGGAAAGTATTCATTAAGGACCTCACCCATTTCCTCTGACTCCACACATAAATTCCTTCCTATGTCCTTGAGTGGACCTAACCTTTCCCTAGCTTCCTCCATTATGATCCTTTGGAATTGATAACCACAAGAGGGCTTTGGGAGCTCAGTCTTTGTGTACATTTGGATTACTAGTGATGGACAGGGTTATGGGGATGGGATTGGTAAAAGTGTGTTTTTGAAGCATGAAATGTTTGATCAACGATGATTGTGTTCAATGGTGGAACAGGCTCAATGGGCTGAATGGCCTATTCCTGTTCATATTGATGGATGGGCAATAAATGCTAGCCTTGTCACAACCTATGAACAAATAAAGAAAAAGTGCTACTTATCATTCGAGGCCTGAAAGTTCCCCAGGACATGATAAGAAAATACACTGCTGTGCTTCAATAGTTTAAAAGAAATATACCCTTCCAGTAGCAGGATGAGCAAATAACACAGGCTGTTTATTTCAGGATATTTCACACAGTGGCTCAGTAGACACATTCCACATAAAGTTCAGCAATTTAAAAAAAAATATTAACTGGATGTGAGTGTTGCTGGCCAAGAAATTCTTGCAAAACTCTAATTCTACATCAGATGGTGGTGAGCTGCCTTCTCAAAACACTGCGGTCTGCTATAGGTTGCCCCACAGTGCCCTTACAGAGAGAATTCCAGTATTGTGATCGAGCGACAGTGAAGGATCAGCCATGTATTTCCAAGTCAGGATGGTGAGGGGCCTGGAGGGGAACTTGCAGGGTGTGGTGTTCCATTGTATCTGCTGCCCTTGTCCTTCTAGATGGAAGTGATCGTGGGTTTGGAAGGTGCTGCCTGAGGATCTTTGATGAGTTTCTGCAGTGCATCTTGTAGATAGTACACACTACTGCTACTGAGTATCGGCCGTGGAGGAAGTGGATGTGTGGATGTAGTGTCGATCAAGCGGGCTGCTTTGTGCTGGATGGTGTCAAGCTTCTTGAGTGTTATTGGAGCTGTGCCCATCCAGGCAAGTGGGGAGTATTCCATCACATTCCTGACTTCTGCCTTGTAAATGGTGGACAGGCTTTGGGGAGTCAGGAGGCGAGTTACTCGCCACAGTATTCCCAGCTTCTGACCTGCTCTTGTAGCCACTGTGTTTATGTGGTGAGTACAGTTGAGTTTCTGGTCAATAATAACCCCCAGGATGTTGATAGTGGGGGATTCAGTGATGGTAACACCATTGGATGTCAAGGGGTGGTGGTTAGATTGTCTCTTATTGGAGATCAGCAATGCCCGGCATTTGTGCGGCACAAATGTCACTTACCACTTGTCAGCCCAAGCCTGGATATTGTCCAGATCTTGTTGCATTTGAACACAGACTGCTTCAGTATCTGAGGAGTTGCGAATGGTGAACATTGCGCAATCATCAGTGAACATCCCCACTTCTGACCTTTTGATGGATGGAAGGTCATTGATGAAGCAGCTGAAGATGGTTGGAATCAGGAAAAACTGGTTGAATGGTGCCTGATTGTCTTAAAATCTGTCTGGTTCATTGATGTCCTTTATAGAATCTGTTGTTCTTGCTAGGTGATTGGAGAGTCAAGAACCAGTAGTCACAGCCTAAGGATAAGGGGTAGGCCTTTTAGGACTGAGTTGAGGAGAAATATCATCACCCAGAGAGTGGGGAGCCTGTGGAATTCTCTTCCATAGAAAGCGGTCAAGGCCAAAACATTGAACATTTTCAAGAAGGAATTACATGACTAAAGGAAAAAGAGGGAACGGGAGACTGAGTTGGATGATCAACCATCATCATATTGAATGGTAGAATAAGCTCAAAGGGCAGAATGGCCTACTCTTGCTCCTATCTGCTATGTTTCTACCTGGTCTGGCCTGCATGTGACTCCACACACTCAACAATGTGTTTGATACTAAACTGCCCTCTAAAATGACTGATCAAACCATTGAGTTCAAGGAGAACTGTTGCAGGCCCAGCCACTGACACCCACATTCCCATGGAACAATACACTCACTCGGTATTATTGAACAGACACACCTGTCCCAGTGGGCAAAGACATCCAGGCTCACAGGTATCCTGCTGACACTCTGTTTCAGACCGAAGGTCTGAGCAGCTACGAGGGCAGATGTTGGCACATTTACTGATGGTCTGGTTTTGCGGACAACCTAAAAAACAAGTAGATGAAATGTTGACCAAAGGCCATTGTAACAAAATTCCATCTCCATAAAGCAACTAATCTATTCTACAATGGAACGAGAGTGCAATAACACCTTGTATCAACACAAAGTTTTTCTGCAGTTCCCCCTGGAATATTTGAATTGAACCTGCCCCACCCCCACACTCTCGGACAGTACATTCCAGACCCTAACCCCTCGAGTGAACCTGCCTCCCCC